AACAAATTTTTAGGTTTTTTTGTTTTGTAAATTGCGGCAAAACTGAGCCTCAATGATATAATACCTTGACCTAAACCTATGTAAAATGTTCCGGAGAATCGATTGGCGTCAAAAAAACTGCAAAATTCCTAATAGTTTTGAAGTTATGGTCGGATTTATATTATCCATACTTTTGACTTTATCACAAATTTTCTCGATAACTATTTATCGTAGAATACTGATTTTTTTTTATATGATAGAAAATTAAATTTGCTTTCCAACGGTACCAAACATAAGAGGTTATTGCCAATAAGTCCGGAGTTATTGGCAATAGACCGCTCCGGGTGCCAAAAATCGGTCAAAATTCGACGAAAATCAAAAAAAATTTTAACCTTAAAATTCATCCATATAACGTTTTTTACATTTATAGAGGTCTTAAACTCTCAAAAAAATACATAAAACGTTATTGGGTTGAGTTTAAAAAAAAACGAATTTTTGAGTTTTTCGAAAAATTAGTAGTAAAATCGTATAAATAGTCAATATACAATATAAGAGAGAAAGAGAGCAAATAAGAGCACAAAGCATAATAAGAAAGAGAAAGAGCATATAAATAAGAGAGAGAGAAAACTAGCACCATTGCATAACAAGAAGGAGAAAGAGCATAAAAAATAAGAGAGAGAGAGAGAGAGCAAATAAGAGACATAGCAGAAAAGGAAAGAGAAAAAGGATAAGAGCTTTTTTCTATAATACCAAAATTAATTTAAATATTTTTACTTGAGTTTTTTGTTATGTAGACTGTATTTCAGTTATAAAAAACATAAAAATTTTTAATTGTGCACACACTTTATATTAGTTTGATCCAATTTCATTTAAGTAGACTTCGTTTCAGACTTATAAGCCACTAAAACAATCCACTTATTTCAAAAATTACAATTTTCAATCATCTAGTCCCAAAATCGGATCAGAAAACCCATGTATACTTCGTTTCAAAATCACAAAACCTATTCAAATTTGACATCTGTCACATTTCAGCGTTCCTCCGGCTCTCTCCATGACAACAGCATGTCAAACCTTTATGACAGTTGGCGTTCGGAATGGAACGGCTACTATTACAACGCCTACTACGGCAACAACAACCCCGGAAGTAGCCATTACGGCCGTCGCCGCTCCGATTACGACACGAATTTCTGAAAAATTCGCCCAACTGCCCCCCAAATCCGTATCTGTACCATGATTTTCACACAGGGTTTTCCCCCAATTGGTTTTGCTCAAATCCCGTCCCCGAATGTACAGATATCGATTTTGATTGCCAAAATGCTAGTGAAAATCGAGCGGCTGTAGTAGTTTTTCCAGGTTTTTCTAGTCAACAGCCTACTAGACACTGTCAAACGGCTGTGAAAGCATCGATCAAGACTTTTAAACATCGACGTTTAGGCTTCGCGCTGGTTTTTGTCGTTTTTACAAATTCAGTGTTGATGGAGCAGTTTTTTGGAATTTTTTCAAACGTGCGAATGTGTAGTTCATCCGGTTTTCAACCTGTATATAAGTGTAAATATATCGTAAGATTATATCTATTTTCCCATTACTTAGGCTAGACTCATTCAATATTTAAATTATTGTAAATGTAGCTGTTAAGGTGTTAAATAAATCATTATAAGTAAAAAAACTGTTATTTTTCCCTTTTATATCACTTTCAGTGACAATCTTTTTTAAGCACCCTGTTTAATGAGTGACATAATAAAATGTGTAACTTTTTACTATATTCCACGTTTTTTTTATTCATATTCCTCAGATATTTTTCTTCTTTTGATTTTCTCCCATTTATTGCTTATTAAATTATTAATTTTTACGAAATTTTATAGTTTCATTTTTTTTCACCTTTTGTCTTCAAAGTGAGCTTCACTAAAATGACTAATAATAAACA